GTTTTTTGGCCATTTTTTTTTTTTTTTTTTCAATGGTTTGAAGTATGAATTATTCTTAATTTAACCATTGGAGAAATAGTTATTTCTACCATTTGCTTTTGGTGTATTAAAATGGATGGTTAAAACTACCAATTGATAAATGGTCATTACAACCATTGGCAATTGATTACCGCAGATCCACTCTTCAACCATTTTTTTAGGGTAAATTTAACCAATCTAGTGCAACTTATCATTCTACGATACCCTAATGGTAATGGTTTGTGCAAAAATGTGGAAAAAAGGCGGTCATGTTTTGTCTCAAGAATGACACTTCAATAGTGCTCTTAAACCGAATCAAACATTGTATTTATTTCTACGAAACAGCAGTTATATATATGGCAACTCCATATCGTGTCTTTCAAAATGACATGCATGCATATTAGAAGTTTAAGATCTTTAGCATCGAGAAAAAACTACAAAACCTGTGAGTATACCTATATATTTTCTGTATCTATTTATAAGCTTGTCTTTAAAGGTCTAGTGCACCTACTGCGCMGGACCATTCGGAATTTATGGCCATAATGTTCTAATCATGTCAGCACTTTTGTCTCGGCGCATTAAGCCTTGTTTCCATATGATCGCTCACGATCGCCGGATCGCTGAAATTATTGATGCATGAATCGCTCACGATCGCTATCAGTTTCTGACATATGTTTCCATTAAGTCGCTGAAGTTTATGCTACAGCGAGCTCCACTTGAGGTTGTGGCTCTTTTATGAGCCAACACGGATATTATGGTCAGTTGTCATCCATATGAGCCACGAGTAGTATAGGCCGCATGGCACGATCCGGATTTTGGGTGGGCTAGTGGTGGGCTAGTGGTGGGCTAGTGGTGGGCTAGCGGTGGGCTAGTGGTGGGCACATTAATTATTCATCGCATATTAGCATAAAACGACGGGTAGGTATTGTTTCGGGTTACCATGACGACCAATTGACGTCATAAGGCTATTTTTGACCGGTATTGTTGAATAAGTCTTTGTTTCGGGAATGGTGGGCCAGTGATGGGCAC